GACGGGAAACAGGGCTCTAGAAGCTGGGCACCGGACGGGAAACAGGGCTCTAGAAGCTGGGCACCGGACGGGAAACAGGGCGGGAGAGTTGTGCTGATGAGGGAGTGCTTGATTACAGATAATAGTTTGGCCTTACAGATAAGGGACAGGTGAAGGGAGTTGGACTGGTGCTGAGGGAGTGACTGAGTTGAAGAGTGAGGAGCTACAGAAAAACACACACACAACACATAAGGCAACACCTGATTGTGACAGGAAGATCTTAAGTATCAAACACAACCTTTCATTATTAAAGACTACTTTATTACTTTGTCGTATTTTTTTAAAACTCAGCAACCAATCTACTTCCTGTTTACACCGTCACGCGCATGCCCAGTGTACGTGCTGCCCGTCTTCGAAGGTCAAAGTACTCACTAACTACAGGAGACCATCCCCCCACTGAGGCCAATCACCAACTGGCTGACGACCTGAATGTTTTTTACTGCAGGTTTGATAAGCCTACTCTCACACCCCCCCCACCTGCCCCATCATCATCAAACAACCACCTACACCCCCTGCCTCCTCCTCCTCACCTCTCCCAACCGACCCCCCACTGGCACTGAGGATCTGCAAAGAGGATGTGAGTCGGCTCTTCCACAGACAGAAGATCAGGAAGGCACCAGGCCCAGACTGTCACAGTTCAGCTCCACACCCTCCTCACTCTTATTGTCAGTCACTCCCTCCTCATTAGTCTAAACTCCCTTCACCTGTTCACTCACCTGCCTCTGATCAGTAATCAAGCCCCTATATAGACTCCTGCCTCCCAGACACATTTGCCAGATTGTTCTTCGGTTCTATGCCAGACTCTCCAGCACACTGTCACGGACTGATCTCCTGTTACCGATCCTGCCTGCCCCTGTTCTACCCGCCTTGCCTGACTCCCGGTAGACCCACCCGCCTTCTGATCCTGATCTTGATTAACTCTGCCTGCTGTATCTGGAAACTCTGCCTGCCCCTGTTTTATCCGCCTTGCCTGACTCCCGGTAAACCCACCAGCCTTCTGATCCTGACCCTGTTTGAACTCTGCCTGCTATATTTGAAGTTAGTAATAAAAGCCAAAGATCTCTGGAATCCTGTGTGTTGCATTTGGGTCCATATGCAACCCGTTACACAGACGGTGTGTCACCCTCGTGCCTGAAAGTCTGTGCTGACCAGCTGGGCCCCATCTTCAACCGATTACTGGAGCTATGTGAAGTCCCCTCATGCTTCAAACGCTCCACGATCATCCCGGTTCCCAAGAAATCCTCCATCACAGGATTAAATGAATACAGGCCCGTCGCCCTGACATCTGTGGTCATGAAATCCTTTGAGAGACTGGTGTTGCATCTGAAGGTCATCACAGGGCCCCTGCTGGACCCCCTGCAGTTTGCCTACCGTGCAAACAGGTCGGTGGATGATGCAGTCAACATGGGACTGCACTACATGCTGCAACACCTCGACTCCCCAGGGTCATATGCAAGGGTTCTGTTTGTGGACTTCAGCTCTGCATTCAACACCATCATCCATCATCCCAGAAATACTCCAACCCAAACTCTCCCAGCTCACTGTGCCAGCCTCCACCTGTCGGTGGATCACAAACTTCCTGACTGACAGGACGCAGCAGGTGAGGCTGGGAAAAATCACATCCAGTACCCGGACTATCAGCACTGGCACCCCCCCAGGGATGTGTGCTCTCCCCACTGCTCTTCTCCCTCTACACCAACGACTGCACCTCAGAGGACCCGTCTGTTAAACTCCTGAAGTTCGCAGACGACACAACGGTCATCGAACTCATCAGGGATGGTGATGAGTCTGCATACAGACAGGAGGTTGAACAGCTGGTCCTCTGGTGTGACCAGAACAACCTGGAGCTAAACGGGTTCAAAACTGTGGAGATGACAGTGGACTTCAGGAGGAGCCCCCCAACACTGCCCCCCCCCCCTCACCATACTCAACAACACTGTGTCCGCTGTGGAGACCTTCAAGTTTCTGGGATCCGCAATCCCCCAGGACCTGAAGTGGGCTCCCAACAACATCATCAGGAAAAAGGCCCAGCAGAGGTTGTACTTCCTGCGCCAGCTCAATAAGTTCAACCTGCCTCAGGAGCTGCTGATCCTGTTTTACTCAGCAATCATCCAGTCTGTTCCTCCATCACTGTGGTTTGGATCGGCCACCAAACAGGACAGAAACGGACTGCAACGGATTGTCAGGTCTGCAGAGAGAATCACTGGTTCCAGCCTGCCGTCCATCCTGGACTTGTTCACCTCCAGGGTCAGAAAACGGGCAGGAAAGATCACTGCAGACCGATATCTTTTGTTTTATTATTCTCTTTTTATTGAGATGGAAAAGCAAAACATTTTATTGTCTCCAAACACATACATAAACTCATCTGTCTGCCAATACACTTGTCTCCATATTTACCCTTCAATCAATCATTTACAGTTGTGTGAAAAAGTGTTTGCCCTCTTCCTTCTTCCTGATTTCTTATTTTTTTGCATGTTTGTCACACTTAAATGTTTCAGATCAAACAAATTTAAATATTAGACAAAGATAATACAAGTAAACACAAAATGCAGTTTTTAAATGAAGGTTTTTATTATTAAAGGGGGGAAAAAATCCAAACCTACATGGCCCTGTGGGAAAAAGTGATTTCCCCCCCCCTGTTAAAACATAAATTAACTGTGGTTTATCACATCTTTGGAAAGCTGAGTTCAGTTTCTCTAGCCACACCCAGGCCTGATTACTGCCACACCTGTTCTCAATCAAGAAATCACTTAAATAGGACCTGCCTGACAAAGTGGGGTAGACCAAAAGATCCTCAAAAGCTAGACATCATGCTGCGATCCAAAGAAATTCAGGAACAAATGAGAAACAAAGTAATTGAGATCTATCAGTCTGGAAAAGGTTACAAAGCCATTTCTAAAGCTTTGGGACTCCAGCGAACCACAGTGAGAGCCATTATCCACAAATGGCGAAAACATGGAACAGTGGTGAACCTTCCCAGGAGTGGCTGGCCGACCAAAATTACCCCAAGAGCGCAGCGACGACTCATCCAAGAGGTCACAAAAGACCCCAGAACAACATCCAAAGAACTGCAGGCCTCACTTGCCTCAATTAAGGTCAGTGTTCATGACTCCACCATAAGAAAGAGACTGGGCAAAAATGGCCTGCATGGCAGAGTTCCAAGACGAAAACCACTGCTGAGCAAAAAGTACATAAAGGCTCGTCTCAGTTTTGCCAGAAAACATCTTGATGATCCTCAAGACTTTTGGGAAAATACTCTGTGGACTGACGAGACAAAAGTTGAACTTTTTGGAAGGTGTATGTCCCATTACATCTGGCGTAAAAGTAACACGGCATTTCAGAAAAGGAACATCATACCAACTGTAAAATATGGTTGTGGTAGTGTGATGGTCTGGGGCTGTTTTGCTGCTTCAGGACCTGGAAGACTTGCTGTGGTAAATGGAACCATGAATTCTGCTGTCTACCAAAAAATCCTGAAGGAGAATGTCCGGCCATCTGTTCGTGACCTCAAGCTGAAGCACACTTGGGTTCTGCAGCAGGACAATGATCCAAAACACACCAGCAAGTCCACCTCTGAATGGCTTAAGAAAAACAAAATGAAGACTTTGGAGTGGCCTAGTCAAAGTCCCGACCTGAATCTGATTGAGATGCTGTGGCATGACCTTAAAAAGGCAGTTCATGCTCGAAAACCCTCCAATGTGGCTGAATTACAACAATTCTGCAAAGATGAGTGGGCCAAAATTCCTCTACAGCGCTGTAAAAGACTCATTGCCAGTTATCGCAAATGCTTGATTGCAGTTGTTGCTGCTAAGGGTGGCCCAACCAGTTATTGGGTTTAGGTGGCAATCACTTTTTCACACAGGGCCATGTAGGTTTGGATTTTTTTTTTCCCCCTTAATAATAAAAATCTTCATTTAAAAACTGCATTTTGTGTTTACTTGTGTTATCTTTGTCTAATATTTAAATTTGTTTGATGATCTGAAACATTTAAGTGTGACAAACATGCAAAAAAATAAGAAATCAGGAAGGGGGCAAACACTTTTTCACACAACTGTAGATTAAACAAGAAAGAAACAAAAAGCATATTACTGCTGGTGAGGCTCTGGTTTCCGGGACATGAGACATATGGTTTGACCAGGAACTAGGGCTGGGCGGTATACCGGTTTTAATTTCCCGTACGATATGAATTTTTCATATACCGTCATACACAGCCGAAAACAACTTCTGTCGCTTTTCAACAGGCAGCAAAATATATTGTTCGCTGCTGGCCGCGCTACGGTCGGAGCTAGTTATCTTAACTGTATTGAGAGGGAACCCTAGTCATGGTCATAACTTTATTACAACAATTAACAACCCACAACTAACACTCTATAACAGGGTAAAACACCACGACACAACAGTTTGTTACAGATAAACAATTTGTAACACTAATTGTACATTTATAAAATTTCTCCGCCGAACTGCATGCTGGGTATGGCTCGCTAACAGTCTGCTAACAGCTGGGAGAGGCTCTGTCGCTCCAGTAACGTTACATTAAAGAACAGAAAAGAGCGAAGCAGGAGGGGCTTCTTCTTCTTTAAATTCCATTGGCGGGTCGCAACCAACTTGCATAGGTGCATACCGCCACCTACTGTACCGGAGTGTGCATTTTCAGGGTAACCTTTTCTTCACTGTTCTGATAACATAAAATAAAATGATATAAATATATATATATAAATAACTAAAGAAATAAACCTAAACAACACCTACTAACAACTAAATCCTACGGTCTAATCCCGTTTCTTTCCATAGAGGGGCTTAGGACCCAGGGGAATGTAGGTGAAGGAAACAGGAAGTGACTGAACGGAAGACACGCCACACAAACAGCTGTTCACCGCTCGCTGGCCGGCCGTTTCTTTTCGGCGTTAATTAATTAATGCTTTAACACGGAAAAAAAATACCGTAATATACCGTGAAACCGCCAGAATCTTACAAAATACCGTGATATGCATTTTTGGTCATACCGCCCAGCCCTACCAGGAACAACCCGAAAAATCTATATTGAGCCGCCGCCCTATGGGCCCACCGCTCGAAGGGATATGCGGAAGGGTGATTGGGTAAAAGGGGTAAAAGGGATTCTTTCCTGTGTGAGTTTTCATGTGTACATTTAGACCTCTGTTGCTCTTAAATCTGTCATCACAAACTGAGCAGCTGAAAGGTTTCTCTCCTGTGTGGATTTTCATGTGTGTCTGTAAAATATGTTTCTGTCTAAAAGATTTCTTGCAAACTGAGCAGCTGTAAGGTTTCTCTCCTGTGTGGATTCTCATGTGTCTCTTCAGATCTCCACTTCCACTGAAACCTTGATCACAAACTGAGCAGCTGTAAGGTTTCTCTCCTGTGTGGATTCTCATGTGTGTCTTTAAATCTCCACTCTGTGTAAAAGATTTCTTGCAAACTGAGCAGCTGTAAGGTTTCTCTCCTGTGTGGATTCTCATGTGTGTCTTCAGACCTCCTCTGGTGCAAAATGTTTTCTCACACTCAGAGCATCTAAAAAGTTTCTCCCCAGCACTACATCTTGAACCACTGACAAGGGCTTCATCAGGTTTCAAAGAGTTTAAACCTGACTGAGGTTCTCTGGTCTCCTTCCAGTCATCCGTGTCAGAAGCGTCTACAGTCTTGTCATCAGTATCTGGTTCTGGATGTCTAGCTGGATCTAAGTTCCTGTCTGGTTCTGGTCCTCCACAGTCCTCTCCATCAGCTTCTGTTTCCATCTGTTCAGTTTGTCTTTGATGAAGCTTGGAGGACTGAGCCTCCTCTTCATCATCTTCACTCTTCACAGGAGTGAATGAGAACTTGACATCAGCCTCCTCCAGCCCTTGAAGCTGCTCTCCCTCCTGACTGGTCCAGAGATCCTCCTGTTCCTCTTTAATATGTGGGGGCTCTGGGTCCTCCTGTTCCAGACTGGAGCTCCACTCCTGCTGCTCAGGGGGAACCTCTTCTTTAACCACCAACAGCTGCTGGACGTCTGCAGGAAAACAGTAAACACATACAGAGACGTTACAAAGACATTTTAGTATTGAGCAAATAGTCTCCTGTACGTACTTTTGTTCCTGCCATCATTCCCTCTTACACTCCCTGTGCAGTTACCAAAAAGACATGCCGACACAAATTGTAAAGACACAACGCACCAGCAGCATCAATAGTTTACATGGCAAAAAAGTCTGACACTACCCAACATTGTTAAGAAGTATTCAAAGAACCTGCATCCTCCATAAAGTCCGGCTGAGATTTGATCACGTGAGCAGTTATAGTTGACTAATGTACGTAAACCTGCCACCGTAGAAACAGTGGATAGAACCTTCAGAAGCAGCCACAACATAACTCTGGACGTGCATCATAGGTGCGCTCCGTTTCTGAACCAATAGCACTCTACCTTGGTAGTCAGCCGTAGAGAACATCCATGTAAAGATGATGAAACTGAAATGTGACAATGACACAATCTGAACTAATGAACTTCGTCTAGAGCAGGGGTCGGCAACATGCGGCTCCGGAGCCGCATGCGGCTCTTCAGCCCCTCTGTTGCGGCTCCCTGAGTCTACATCCACACTAATACGTTTTCGTTTTAAACGATCTCCGTCCACACGGCGTTTCAGCATCGTTTTCTAAATGATCTCGGTCCAGACTTAAATGCCTGAAATTGAATATCACGTGACTATTCACGTACACTGGGCATGCGGGTGGGTGCCGGTGTAAACAGGAAGTAGATTGGTTGCTCAAAGCCGCTAACGTGACTTCAGACGGCCGCTCCGTAGGTCTGATAACGCCGCTGGACACGCTGCTCGCTAATCGCTCCAATAACAGCTGCTTCCTCCGCAGAAATGCAGACTTTAACTGGACAACAGCTGCTAGTAAAGACAACAAGGTCAGTAATACCTGACCTTAAATAAAAATGTTTTAATATTTTGTCAACTAAAATGTGCTACACATCTTATTACACCTGTCAAGCGCCTTTCCCTTCAGGTGGCTAATCATGATTTGCAGACCCCCGCCCTGGGTAAAGTATCAATGGATAAATCCAAAATAGAAAAGTCACGGAGGAAAATAGAGTTTAATTCTGCGTGTACGTATTAAATTGCTTTCACTGCCAACGATGCTGGCTTACCTGTATGCTTGGTATGTGCAAAAAATGTAATGTTGAATGTCACTTCCAGAACAAGCACACATTTTCTGAAAAGTGTCACGCTGGAGATGAGTGAAAAAGCGATTTCTCAACTGCTGCAGCAAACTGAGCAAGTTTTTTTCTCTTCATAAGAGTTTGATATTGTTATAACAGGTAAAATAGCAATAAAATGTCAAGAATTGTCTTTATTTTTTGTTCGATATTTTCATAAATACAACAAACTATAGTTTTTGTATAAATAATATAGCTATATATAAAACTTTATAAGCTGTGATATCAAATAGCCTTTGCAGCTGCAGACAAATTTTATTTGGTGGAAAATAGGGCGAAATGGCTCTTTGGACAGTAGGGTTGGGTACCGAAACCCAGTGCCGGTATGGCACCGGTACCTATCTACCGGACCGAAACGCAATGCAGATTTCGGTGCCTGAGCCGATTGAAATACTTTTTTTACACTACTCCGATGACTCCGTCCTGGCAGCAGCTAACGATAGCCTCGGTCCTCCGCTCCTCACTCATAGTATTATTACAACCGGACGAGCCGTGCGCGCTTAGAAACAAACCCCTCCATCATTCTTGCGAAGCTTCGGCCATAATTTATTAAAAAAAAAAAACGATCTGTCAAACGGCTACCAACGTCCTCCATCGACATCCGGGTACTTAGCGCTGCCGCTCATAACAAGCACAACATCCGGCACGCGAAACTTTCTTCTTCTTCTTCTTTGAGGTGTAGTGGCGGTTGGCAAACGATGATTGGCGCATTACCGCCACGAACTGGTAAAATAAAAAGGTGTCCTATTTTGCCAGAGAAGGCAAATATGCTCATATTTCTGCAAAATAATTGCTGAAGTTTGAAGGTGTAGTGTGTGTGTACAGAGTGTGCGTGTGTGTGTTTTGTATTTATTTATATTTATTAAAGTATACTGTAAACTGTTAACAGTTAATATATTGTTCATAGTTTGAAGTTAAAAAGTTTGAAGCTGTAGTTTGAAGCCAAGTGTTTTGTATTTATTTATATTTATAGTATACTTTAAACAGTTAATATATTGTTCAATTTGAAGAAAAAAGTATTGGTTCAGGCACCGGTATCGTTTTAAAAGTATCGTTTTAGCACCGGTATCGGAAAAAACCCAAACGATACCCAACCCTATTGGACAGTAAAGGTTGCCGACCCCTGGTCTAGAGACTGCTCTCAGGAACCTAAAGGTCAAGGCAGAACCCCCCACCCCCCTCCTACACACACACACACAATTGTTTGTTGCTTTTACGTAGTATGCTTGTAATTGTTTGATAGATGTTTGTTGATGTATATTATTGATTTATGATCAGTATTGTTCAGTAAATAAACTGTTATATTTTAGGGAGCAGTTTTCTGTGATGATTTTGTGCCTTTGTGTTGTGATAATAGCTGGATGTTATAGTCAGTGCTCGGATTCAAACCTTCACCGTTCACTCTGGATGTGGTAAAAATACTTTGGACTATTGACATTTTGAGTGAACACCAATATTGAGACTATCCAGTTTGCTTATTGGTCCCTGCTCCCAGGGTGGTCCCTCTTATTATTGATATATTTTAATAATCCTATTGATGTTAATCATTTTATGATTATCAATGATTTAATTTTCATACTTGCCAGTAACCAAACCCAGTCCTGCCAGATCCGAACACATGTATATCTACATAGGTCTGTATGTGTCACGATAACAAGGTCCATCTATGTTGTATGATTGTTTAATTCATTCTATCATTGATCAGGTTGTATTCACTGATTTATATCCAACCGTTTGGTACCGTTCTGCAGCTGAGATAATCCATATTTAAAATATGGAAGAAATAAATAGACTATGTAAGTAACTAGTATTAATTCTGTAAATTAAGGTTAAATGTTGTAATCAACTCTTATGTGACCATGAACATATCATAGAGAACAGATCAGAAGAAGAAGAAAAAGATTCATTGAATCAACCGAGTCTCACTCCAAACTACATTAAAAGTTATCAGCCGGAGGATGAACAGTGTTTGAGAACTGAGAGAAGAAATGAAGTCAACCCACGTGCTCTTTGTATCCGGACTTCGGGGTTTAAAACAGCGTCCAGTAGTTTCTGTTGTTGCTCGTTCTCCTCTTTTGAACGAGAACGTTCCTCCTCGTACTCTGCTATCGTTCTTTCAAACAGACCAAATATCTCTTCGGCAGCTGCAGTTAGTCTATGGTTGACTAAACATCTCAGCATTTGGACTTTAGACATTTTCACTAAACCACAGAAACGTTTCCTCCAGACAAAGGGTTTGCTCACTCTGACCTGCGCTGGGTTACTAGGTTAAGTTCGGGTCCGTCTACTTCCTGCTAGCATGCTAACTTCATTAGCTCCGTAGGACACCAGGAAACAATCCACCAGCGACAGAAACGTTTCCTCCAGACAAACTCCGTTAAAAACACCGTTTACTCTCCGTTAAACTCTGACTAGCGCTGTGTTGACAACTTCCGTCCTCGTCGGTCTGTTTCCAGCTAGCATGCTAAGCTAACTTCGATAGCTTTGTAGGCTACCGGGAGATGAGTCTTCTTGTTCTTTTTCTTCTTCTTTGAGTTTAATGGCGGACTACAAACCAACGTTTAAGGTGCATGCCGCCATCTACTGGACCGGAGTGTGTAACATCATGACTTGATGACAGTTATCATTTAAAGACAATAATAATGTTATTTATAAATAAAAGAAAATAAAGAAACATTAAAACAAACCTCATATATAAGTTATATTCTGGATATTAAACCCGTTCCATTCATAAATTAAATAAAGCCCTTTTAAGCTGAACTTGTTTGTCCCCTATCTCCAACAGTCCTTTGATGCTGCACTCCCTTCCTAAATCTATCACTCTGCCCTTCAGTCTTTCTCTTTCCACACTGAACTTCCTCCACTCTATCAGCACATGTTCAACACTTTCTTCACAGTTGCATATCTCACATTTTTCTGACTCTGTCTTTTTCACGATGTATAAGGTGTCATTGAGTCCTGTTTGTCCTAACCTTAATCTACTGAAAGTAACATCTTCTTTTCTACTTTTACTTCTGTCACTTCTCACTCTGACTGACGTCTGAATTTTTTTTATAATTTCTACCCTTATTGTCATTATTCCATATTTGCTGCCAAGATGCGCATGTCTGCCCTTGGATGAAGGCCTGACATGCGCTGTGGACAAGCTCTACTGGGTAGGCAACTTGGCCTACCCAGCCCCGCTCAGCTCTGTGTTCTCGTTCTTTGAGTACATCTACGACTTACCCATGTCAACAAACAGGAGAGCAAAGGTATTGACCTCATTTCAAAAGTCAAGTCTGTTAATTAGATCACACCAAAATGTACACTTGTCCTAAATGTTCGTCACAATTCACACAGATAAAGAAACTCATTTGGCATCTTCGGGAAATACATTGTCAGAGGCACTGGAGTTCACACTTACATGCGGCCAAGATGGTTGCCCAAGGAGGTACCACAGCATGAATTCATTTACAAAGCACCTTTCTAGAGAGCACCAAAGAACAAGTACCACAGTAGTTAGGCCTTCTCTTCAGACCATCCCAACATTTACCGACTCCACACTGACCATAGACACAATGTGTCTAGAGGAAAACACAACTGAGCCCTCTGAGACATTTAAACCGGTTTCCACAAGTGACACTGCAGCCTCATTCTTGGCAAAAATGTATGCTAGGTCAAATGTAACACTAATGGATGTAACAAGAAGTGTAACCTGTGTTAAAGAACTTGTTGAAACAACTGTATACATTACAAGATTCAGTGACCTAATATGGGTTTACCACGTGACCATGAACTTGTACTACCACTAATGAGACAGTTTGAAAGTACCAAACACATGTTTGATGACATAGACACTCCTTTCAAAATCAATGCACACTTTTCTGAAAAATTCCATCTTGTCAAGCCAAGGGAAATATTTCTTGGTCACAGATCAGATACTGTATGGAAACAGGGACAAATGAAGCAGGTCTTGGCACCAGACACATGTCAGTATATTCCAATACTCGAAACTATCCAATTTTTATTTGGTAATGACCAAATGCAAGATTTCTACTTTAAAAGCAAAAAAAGTAATGACAACATGATGTGTGACTATGGTGATGGACATCAATTCTCAACTCGTCCACTTTTCAAACTGTATCCAGAATCCCTGCAAATTCAGTTGTATTATGATGATGTTGAGACAACAAATCCTCTGGGTTCTAAAACTAAAATCCATAAAATGGGTGCCGTTTACTTCACTCTACGGAATTAACCTCCAGAATGCAATTCATCCCTAGCTCATATTCACTTATGTGTGTTATTTAATTCAATCGACAGGGAGACGTATGGGATTGGTACGATACTAGAGCCACTTCTTGAGGACATCAGAGTCCTTGAAAACTCTGGTATAGAAGTAGAAGTTAATGGACAAATTCGAAAGCTGTTTGGAACTCTTTCTATTTTGACAGCAAATCATTTGGCAGTGCATACACTGTGCGGCTATGTAGAAAGCTTTTCTGCACACAAATTTTGTCAGTTTTGTGTGATTGACAAGGAGGAAGTACAGTCAGTGTTTGATGAAGACCATGTTGTAAAAAGGACCAGAGAGAACAATGAGCAACATGTTCGGGTCTGTGATCCAAGCTCAACTTGTGTAAAAGGGAATTCATGTTTGAACAGTCTGCAATATTTTCATGTCACAGAAAATACATGTGTGGACATAATGCATGATGTACTTGAGGGTGTGGCTCCTTTGGCGGTAAAGTTGTTGTTGCGTCACTTCATTTATGACGAAAAGCTTTTCACGTTGGAGCAACTTAATCACAGGATTGCTGGTTTTGACTATGGTTACATGAATGAGAAAAATAAACCAAGTGTCATCAATTTGAGATCCTCAGAAAATTCTGTCAAACAAACTGCCTCCCAAATGTGGTGTCTCTTGCAAGTTTTACCCTCTTTAGTGGGGGATTTCATTGATCGGAAAGACCAGTTTTGGCATCTGTTCATTTTGTTGAGGGAAATCTGTAGCATTATTTTTGCACCTGTTGTCAGTGTTGGGCTTGCTGTGTTTCTTAAGCAGCTCATCATAGATCACCATACACTTTACAAGAAGTTGTTTGAACGGAATCTAATTCCTAAGCACCATTTTATGGTACACTATCCAAGAATGCTGTGTATGTTTGGACCTCTCTCTCATTTGTGGTGTATGAGATTTGAGGCAAAGCATAATCCCTTAAAGAGGCAAGCACATGTGGTATGCAATTTCAAAAATATTGCCAAAACACTCGCCTATAAACATCAGGTTCAACAAATGTATAATTTCAAGCTTGGGGACCCTTTTTGTAAAAAATACAATGTCGGCAATGCCTACCCTGTGAACATTGGTTCTTTAAAGAAAGCTGATCTTATACTCGAGGGACTTACTGTAAGTCAGCCATGCACAAAGATTTCACAATTGGTGGCATCATTTATGTTACACATTCACTGACTGTAAATGGCCAGACATACAGGACTGGATCTGTGCTGCCACTAAAAACACAGTATCATGGGGAGCACTTATTTGGTCAGATAATTCATGTTCTACCCCAGGAGGAGAAGTTACTCTTTCTTATTAGAGTGCTTGAAGTTCAGTGCTTTGATGAGCATTTCTATGCATATGTTGTGCAACAAACTAAAGATTTTGAAATGATAAATTTGGATAATGTTGCAGATGTTCGACCTCTCGATATTATGTCAAATTTTAGCAATGACAAGCTCTATCTCAATCCGAGGCACAGGATTTTGTAGGTGTGGTTCTGATACTGTCATGTTCAGTAATAACATTTAATGATTTTTTTTACTTGTATATGTTGTATTACGAATGCATGTAAAGCCTGTTTTGTTTGAAAAAAAATTTTTTTTAAAAAGTTGACAATTTTAAATGAAAGATTAATTAAATAAAGGCTCATGATTGTATCCTTGCTTTTCATTATTATTGAAAGAAAAATATTCATTACAGTCACCTGGTACTTCCATTACACATTGGTGACACAATGTGCAGAAATAACACTTTTATGTGTTTATCTGGGTTACACATGATTTACACATAATGTGTAAAAATAACACATTTATATGTTAAGCCATGTAACACAGCTGTTGTGTAGAAATGGTTTAAACATTTGCTGTGTTGAAACACAACATGAGTTGTCCCTGAGCACACTCTGTAGATGTGTTGAAATTCAACACATGTTGTGTCATTTTTAACACATCCCTTCTTAGTGTATCTGCTCCACTGTCCTCGTTCCATGCAAAAAGTTTTGTGTAAAAAACAAAACAATTTCGGTAGATTAGCTTGACGTTTGGAATGCAGTTTTGCAAAAAAAGAATACTGCAGATTTCATGCCCCATGTCTTTGTGCCAGAAAGGGATCATTTCACAGCCAGTATGGTGAGTATAGACCATAACTCTTTCAATACATGGGCGTTGTAGTGTAGTGTTGTATTAAGACATACCTCCACATCTGAGCTTTATCATTTCAGGGTCTTTCTATATTTAAAAGGTACACTGATGTCGGAACAGTCAATGATTTCAGTACTATTCATGCTGGTGTCCACTATTGTCCAAATTGTTCCCTCTTTGCTGCTTTCATGAGCCTCCATAAAAAAATCACAAGCCATCGGGTGCACTGTGTACAGGACAGGAGACTCCACTTGGTACTGCAGCCTGTTGTGGAAATTTATCATATGGTTATTTTAGTTATAACTTGTATCGCTTAAACCTGAATATCACCCTAACCCTCTTCCCACGAAAAGGCCGGGAACCTGGCCTTGGTGGCTGCAGCGGGCGACAACATCTGCGAGGGGGAGGGTGAAGGGAGAGGAGACGAGATAACGCGCATATATACTCTGTTTTGTCTTTTTATTGTTGTTAGACCTCCGAACGATTCGTGGGGAAAGAGCTCTGTCCATTCAGCTGAATTTTGATTGAAGTGTCTGTTCATTAAATATGTTTTCAATACTTTAAGAAGTTCCTGTCACGATATATGTTTTGCATTAGTTATTTATTCTGTTTTATGGAGATGTTCTGTGTCTTGCACTTTATTTCCTGCCTTTGTCTGTCTTACCCCTGTGAGGGTCTGCCCTTCCCCTAATTAGACAATGCTGCGTTCAATCACCTGCACCTCCTCAGTCTGCTTCACTTCACTTTCTGCCCCTGTCTGTTCCTCTCGTGATCGTCTGCCCCACCCTTAATTGTAACCTGCTGTGTCTAATCACCTGCACCTTCCCTCTGTATTTAAACCCTGTGTGTCGCTTGGCTCAGTGTTTGTTCGTCTTTGGTGTAACCTGGTCCGTCTTTTGTCTGCCTGCCATTTCCTCCTGGTACGTTTAGTGTCTGCTCCACGTTGCCGTGTTCCCTGTTTCTTTGGATGTTTTATTTTCATGGACTTGTGATTCACACGTTTTTGTGTTGAATACTTTTTTGTTACAATTAAACCCACAATTATCCAACCCTCCGTTTCCCGAGTCTCCCTGCATTTGGGTCCAGCCCTTTCTTTTCTGCAAAAACCTTACAG